TTGATATATATGTATATATATATATATATATATATATATATATATATATATATATAAATACTTTAAAAACACTGGGACCCTATTGAGATATTCTGTATATAACTTTTCAAAGTTGGACGGGAGGGGTGGCCATCCAATCTCACTATCACCTACTTCTGGTATCCCTGACAGTCACTTAATCTTATTGTTCTAGGTACCTGATTCCCAATAAATGAATTAAAATCTGCATTTAACCCCACAGCAAGAGAACTCCTAGTGGGCAGGACCTATGAGTATTTACTACCTAGACTGCCACAGCACCTGGCACTGCCGACGTTAACAATGACACTGGTGTAAAATGCTGAGCTGAGCTCTTTTGTCATTATTTACTCATCCAGGTATCACACTCTCTTCTGCTGATGAAAGCAGAAGCTCATGGCTAGCAAGTGTGAGGCAGGCTCCTGAGGTGCTGGTGACCATACTCATTAAATGACCATACTCATTTAACCCATAAAGTGATAAAATAGCAGAAACATCACCGCCTGAGCAAACTCAAGGTCCCTTTTCTTTCACCAGCAAAACTAAGTTGAATCACCCTTGCTTTTTCTCAAGCCATGTCACCCAAGGAAAAGAACAAGTGCCATCCTACCAGGTAAAATAGGAACATCATTTCTACTCTAGCAAGAATCTCTTGTTGAAAACTTATCCTCTTCTAACCATCTGAGCTTGTAAAGAGTTATCTCTAGTTCAGCCTTAGGAACCTTAAAGGTATTTGATTGCAAAAGTGAAACTAAAGAAGTTATGAATTCAAGTTCCAGCTATCCATCCCCAAAATGCAATCTTTCTGCTTCACTCTTTAAGAAGAAATGGAAGCCATCCACCCTGCCCGAGCTTGATTCTGAAAGCTGAACCCAGGAACAACCACTGCCCACAAAGAACCTGCTCCTCTTCATGCCACCCAGCTGAAAAAACACATGAGGACACAGCCTATGATGACATGCTGTTTGTTCTCTCAGTTGACAAGGTGACACAACGGCACAGATTCTTTACTTGCAAAATCCGAATTTAGCCCAAGAAGATAGCCACATATAACTTGAGACAAAGGCAAAGGTAAACGATGGATTAGAACAGGGGCTGATGGTGCTAAGTGAGCTTTCCTTGTTACCTCATTCCTTTGGTTCCTGCCTAGAAAGATCCACCTACCAACAGAAAACACACACACACACACACACACACACACACATAGTACAATAAGTACTGCTGACTATGGACCTGGGATCTGAGAAGAATGGGAGGGTGAAAGGCAATGACAATACTTCTGAGTCAGTAGGACTGTCTGGCCCCTGCGGGCTGGGAGGCGAGGCACGTGGGGACAGAACCCTCTGTGAGAAGAACGTCACAGTTGGATGGGCCCTCGGTTGGAGACGCTTTAGCATGACAGGAAGCCACCACCGGGAAGTGGTTTATTTGTTGGCATGGTGTTTTGGCTCAGGCAGGTGACCTGGGATCACACAGGGTGCCACTCTGCTCCCTGAGTTCACTGTTCCCGCTCACCAAAGGAGCTCACCAAAGCAGTTTCACAAGGAGCGTCCCCATCTCCTAACGATTGCCAATAGCACCTTTCATTTGTCAGGAGGATAAAGAGACAGATCACGCATTTCATCGTGTAAGTCAGGTCTGATCAGAGTGAGGGACAAAGGAACGTGGGCTACTAGCTGAGGGAGGGGAGGGGAAGGAGGTGTATGGATTTTTGGTCCAAAGCACCCATATTCTATTCCTGCCTAGATTGTCCTTATGCTCAGAGCTCCGTATGAAGGGCGTGGTGGGACCTGTAAAAGTCTCACACCTGGATCTGCCACATCTCTCCTGGAAGAAGAACCTGTTAATTATCCTCTACCAGGTCTGTAAAAGCTGTGAGGCCC